TGTCAAAATTAGGTCTTGATCTTTGGACGTGTGGGTTATGGGTCAACCATGCTACCGCAGCGCCACTTTGATTCCTTAGTATAATATTGAAAGTAATATATATATATGTATGTATGTATGTATGTTTGTATGTATGTATATATATATATATATATAAAATACAAAAGGCAACAAAACCTTTGTTAAAATTATTTTAATATTATCTTAATTATAATTACTTAATCAATAAATATCGTGGATAGCAAATTGTAATATTCTTACTCATCTATTTTTCTTGGTAAAGCTATATATTTAGCATAGATTTGTTATTTATTTATTTATTGGTGGAGGGGGTATACATGGATCTAAATGGTTTGTCTGGGTTGGAGAGGGGGAACAGAAAGACAAAAATTAAAAGAAGGGGGACTGAAATATTAAAATAAGATTTTATGTTCGACATGTTCAAAATCTTTATAATGATATTTGGAGCACTAGAGAAAATAAAGCATTATATCATGAAATGATTAGTGATGAAATAGTAATGTGACAATCATCCAAAACATCATTATATATTCTTAGATGAATAAAATTATAGATTCAGCAGATCGAATCGTGTCTTTAAAAACTCATTGTTAACCATGCTCCTAAGTTAGTCCTACTTGACACGGGAATAAAATCATTGTACGAATCTTAGAAGATAAAGTCTCGATCAATCTATTTTTTTTTCTTCCTTCTTTTTAAGTCTTTATCAATGTTGAACATAATTATAAATGTCCAATTTTTTATTCAGGCTCAAGGACAAATCTTGTCCCTACTAGCTATAATCTTGGATTCAATTTACTTTAGTCCCCTAAGGAAAGCGTACTTCTTCTAAGAAAGGACCAATGTTTGAAAATACTACCCTGATTCACTATCTATCAATGTTTTTGTGTTTTCTTTTTTTCAAAATTATTAATATTTTATAAGCTAAAGTCTTATTAATTGTTTTTCTTTATACCTTATCTTTTTTACAAGCAGATGAGTTTTATTATGGAAGAAAGGGATAATCTTAAGATTGATCAGAGATTGAAGTAGCATGTCTACGTAGTGACTCTAAATTCAAATATTAGTGTTGTCATTTTTATATGTGAATAAAATTATTTAATCTTAACTCTTAAAATAATATAAGCGATTTAAATTAAAAATTACAAATAAAATTATCATGTAACGTCATCATCATAATTGTATTTATTATTATTTTTGTTATCATTATTACTATAATTGTTGTTACCGTTGTCATCTCCACCACCACCATTGCCACCTTACCATCACAATAAAAATAACTACAATAATGGTAATATATTATAACTTTATTTATAATATTTTAATTTTAATTATTTATTTTAATTTAAAAGTTAATATTGAAAATTTTTATTCTTAACCATAATGACAAACAAATAAATAAGAAATAAAAATATTATTATTTGTATGTGATCAAATTATGTTATTTTTTATGTGAGCCCAAGATATCCTCTAGTCGAAAATCAAGGATAAATTTTTTGAAGTACAAAAAATTTATTTATAAAAATAATCTTTCATAAAAAGTTTTTTTTATGGGGGAATTGCTATAACCTCTCTTGAGATTTGTCAAAATGACACCAATCTTCCTTCTATTTTATTAGTTGACATTTACTTCCCTTATTTTATATATTTTTTTTTTGTTCGTCACTCAGTACCGATAGTGGTGACTAATCTCCTCGCTACGTGGAAGACACCTCACCTCCAGGGACGGAGCCAGGATTTCAATACTGGGGGGCCGAGAATTGGAATGATCAAATGAGGCGCTACATTTTTAAAAAAAAAAAAATTTCCAAAGTGATACCACATAGCAGGCCGTACCAGAAGTCCAAAAGTTGAATAAAAAAATAAATTTGGGTTATTCATTTAATTATACATATGAGTTTATATTAAAAATAGGGGGTGCCATATAGTAATATATATGTATATAAAAAAAAATTAAAATTGTTGGGGGGGCCGTGGCACCCGTAGGTCCCCC